CCTAATTAACATTTTTATCTAAAAGATTGAGCTTGAACATTATTATATATTTTAATTGAATAAGTGTCTTTCTTCTATTATCAATCAATTTCACATTAAACCATATTTATCTATATACCTTAACTCCTAATTAACATTTTTATCTAAAAGATTGAGCTTGAACATTATTATATTTTTTAATAGAATAAGTGGCTTTCTTCTATTACCAATCAATTTCACATTAAGCAATGTTTATCTATATACCTTAACTCCTAATTAACATTATATCTAAGATTGAGCTTGAACATTATTATATTTTTTAGGCCTAATTGCTTATAAATGCATGACTTTTTCAAAAATTGCAGTTTTATGCACCACTTTTAAACTTGGCAAAAATATGCACCACTTTCATTATTGTTTGCAAATTTATGATCAGGGCCCAATTTCGGGCTTTTCTAATCGATGTGGCGTTATTTTTTCTGACGTGTCAATTATCTCACTTTAACTTGAAAAAACCGAATACACTGGAAATACCGATTAACTTTTAACTTCAATCTAGGGTTTGAGGAAATTTGGGGAAGATCGAAATCGACAACTGCCAGGTTCCCTGCTCTCTCGCCTACTTCATCGAGAGACGACTCGCAGTCATTGGCGCTTTTGTTAGCGTTGCCGTTGTTGCTCGCGGCCCTGCGCTTTCTCATGTGGCCACCCTGCGCCTGCCTCGACCCGAATTCATATCCACAGATGGAGCACTCGTGAATTTTCACTTTGCTATCTATATTCAAACCCTTACCGATCAATTGCGGGGGAGAAACATCGGCGGCGGCGGCAGCGGCGGCAGACAAAATCGATCCACCTTCCTCTCCAGTCGTAAGGGAATAATTCGGATTGGACTTATTATGGCTCGCCCGGTGGCCGCCCAAATTCTAAAACGAGGGAAAAGTCCTGCCGCAGGTTTTGCATTCGTATATGTAAATCCCGATCTGTCCTCCACCGGACGATTTATTTTTCGGCACAATTTGTCTTTTCGTTGTGCATTTCGAACCGCCTCGTGCATAAAATCCGTTCGAATTTAGGGTTTTAGGAAATTTGGGGAATTTTTGGATAGCTCGTTGATTGAAGATGAGATTCTCAGTATTA